CGCGAATCTCGGTCGAGTATGTATTGAACAATCGCCTCCTCTTCGATCTTCGTCAAATTCGAACGGCCGTGATAGCTGTCGGACTTCGCGATCTTTCCCTTCATTCTATCTGCAATTGTCGACTTGGGGACATTGTATATCTCTGCGGCGCGTCGGATACTCAAGCGCGGTGTTGATCGAATCGCATTGATCGCGAGAAGAACTCGGTTTTCTGGGAAGCTGTCGGACATTGTTGTGGTAGAGAAAACGCGTGTTGAAGTTGGGTGGTTATGGTGGGGGAAAATGTGTCCGAGTCAATGGGGTGTCCGAGTCAATGGTGGATCACGTTACCCCTTCAGCCTTTTCTTTAAGCGGGCAGTGTCAGGGTTCATTGTGTACTCCAGTAGTCTCAAATAACAGCATACACCACCCTGTCCAGCCGCTCATAGACGATGGCAGGGTTCCGTGAAGACGCGTTTGACCGCGTTTTTGCAACATTGCAAGCCTCAGCCAAGGTCTATAGTATAAAAGCTCCTTTACTCCCATCAGTATGTCTCCTTCCTTCTATCTTCTCTCAACCGAGAAGCGGAATCGCATTCAATTCTTCCTCGACTCACTTGAGCCCTCTCCGCCCGACGCAAGCAACATGTCCCAGGACAGCCTTCAGTCCTCCAGCCTCTTCGAGTCGGTGCTCTCCGATCCCCTTGACCCTCCCTCGAGCGATACCGGTACCACCTTGCCCTCCGAAGCCTCCACAACGTCCTCAGACATGGGATGATGTCCCTCAAACCTACAAAGTTGGTGATGGTGCCGTGCAGCTCATGCCAAGGGTGGGCATCACAAGAGCATGGTTCTGGGACTACGGCTTCAAGGTTCGCAGGGAAGGAGACAATCCCAAGGCCATCCGTTGGCTCTGCAAAATCTGCTCCTGTGCGAAGAGACCACCGAGAGTTCCGTAACCCTCCTTGCCTCGAATCCCGAAAACATGTACAAGCATCTCACAGTTCAGCACAACATCCTCTCAGAAGACCCTCGACAAGCCAACAGGTTTGAGAAGAAGAAGAAGCCGATCTCTCAGAAGCAGTCCTCGATCCATGCCTTCACGAAAAAACGGAAAGCCGACGAAGCCTTTGACCAGGATCAGATTGCTCGGTTCGACAAGATGAAGTTTCGACGGCTCATTGTCAACTGGCTTGTCGAAACCAACTTGCCCTTTACCGCAGCCACCAGCCCAGCGCTTCAAGCTGCCTTCAACTACGCCAATCCGCAAGTGGTAACTCAACTAGCGATGCCAGAACCTCGGGCAGTCAGAAAACAGATCTTGAGCGACTTTCACAAGTACAAGAGTCGTGTGACGGAGGCATTGGCGCGGAGCCCTGGGCAAGTCCATATTGCGTTTGATGGATGGACCTCCCGTAACCGCCACGGTTTCTTGGCCATCAACGCTCAGTTCCTTGACGAGACGTTCGAGCCGAGGAAGGTCCTTCTCGATCTGCCTCATGTGGAAGGGAACCACACCGGTGCCAATATGGCTGCGCACATCAAGGAGGTCCTAGAACAGTTTGGTCTTGCAACCACCTCGGATCAGCTCGGCTACTTCACGGTTGACAACGCTTCCAACAACGATACGGCACTGGCAGAGCTCGCGGCCCTTAAGGGACTCGAAGCTTGTGATGCCCCGCAGATCCGAATTCGTTGCTTCGGCCACATCCTTAGCTTGGTCAGCCGTGCCCTGATGTATCCAAAGGAAGCACAGCTCCCTGAGGATATCGACGAAGACGACTTCGACGGCTGGAGGAAGTCTGGGCCAATTGGTCGCCTGCATAACCTCGTGGTCTGGATACACCGCTCCCAGTTAGCTACCGACTTCTTACGCAATCTCCAGAAGGACGCCGGCCGTACGAAGATCCTCAACGTGGTTGTTGACAACGCGACACGGTGGCTTTCCCAGTTCCACATGATGAAGCGGGCGCTCGAGCTGCAGCCTTTTATTGAGGAACTCGTCGGTGAAGCCAGCTCACAGTTTGCAGCCGGGCGATCTCCCTCGCAGAGGCAGAGACATCCGCTTGCGGGTCTTCATGTGTTTGGCAAGAAACCCGCCTGCCTTGCTGACGATAGCCTCCTCACCAAGGATGACTGGAGCGCGATTCAATGGTTCTGCGCGATCCTGGAACACTTTGAGAAACGTCTCAAGATGTTGGAAGGGGACAATCAGGTTCGAGTTCGCCGTGGGGGCAAGACGACCCGGCTCAGTGGCATTTGGGAGGTCTTCACAGCGTTTGATCAACTGCTCCACAAGCTTGAGGATGCCAAGCTGGAAGCAAAAACTCGCCCAGCGCCGAGTTATTATCAAGGATGTGTCAACGCTGCATGGGACAAGCTTGACCAATACTGGTCCAGGATCTCTGAGTCACCTATTCACTACGCCGACACCCTCCTCCATCCCGGATTCGGTCTTCAGTATCTCACCGGGGCCCTCCAGGACCAGCCTGAACAAGGCCTCTCACCGATCGAGGCCATGGCCGCCAAGAAGAGAGGGCGTGAGTGGGCAGCTGAGGCAGAGAAGATGGTACGTGGTCTCTGGGAACAGCAATATCGAGATCGTGACCCTGATCCTCGATGGAGCGTGTCGTCTCCGACCTCCCAAGATATGGATCACTCGGATCTTGATGAGGACGAGCGAGCCATCAACCGGAAACGCAACCTCAGCACGATTAGCAGTAGGCCGTCGTCTTCCCAAACGGTGGATGAACTAGATCGTTGGCTTCTCTCAATCGATGGGAGATACCTTACTGCAAAGGCCGACCCTATCAAGTACTGGGTGGACCGCCGATTCGAGTATCCCCGATTGGCAAAGATGGCCTTTGACGTGCTCAACGTCCCGCCGATGGCAGCCGAGTGTGAAAGGATATTTTCCGCTGCTGGCTGCATGGTAACGACACGACGGACACGGCTCGGGACCGACGTGATCTCTGCTGCCCAGACGATCAGATCGTGGGTGAAAGCCGGATTGATGGATGATTATGACGGAATCGCCCTCCGAGATGCAGGCATTGAGGCGCTTGAGGACGAAATATTGCTTCAAATTGAAGGTGGCATTGCATGAGGTGACCGGCTCGTGGCTAGGGAGAAGTGTTCAGCAGTCGTGAGCGTCCTGTATCGGAACATCTTTCATCCGCTAAGCCGTGAACATCTAGTGAATGGTAATACGTTGATAGAATAGCTCTCTATTCTATCCACTCTATCTAAGTCCAGCTGACTAATCCATCTATTCTATCTACTTCAAGGGTCGCGTGGGTAGAAGTGGATAGATGCAGAACCCTGATCAGGGGTGTTGGTGTTGGCCGAGAGTCGCCGAGGCTCACACCGGGCCCAGCCCGTTACCACATATATGTATTACCCAGATCAGGCCGACGCGGGCATAGGCGCCCAGCCACGGAAACTGGCAGTTATTTCACAGGCGAGGAAGTGTGCAGGGCCCTAGTGATCTTGTATTTGGCGACGACGGACGAGCGGTTATCGCCACTTACGTCTGCATTATCTGGTCCAAGCATTTGCCCGCTTGTGGTCGGCAAAGGGTCAAAAGATAAAGAAGAAACACAGAAACAATAAGTTGAGGAAGGAGCGACGATATATCTCCATGGTCCGCGAACACGGGGGCATACATCCCCCGGCCAGAACCACGAGCCCTTTCTGTTTACTTGGCGTCTCATCACACTCGTAGCACAGAATCACCCTTTTCATCGCCCCCTGAGAGCCATGTCTCCCCTACGGACCCCAGCGGGTACGACGCCTGCCTCCCCTGACAGCTCTGCCTCCCGTGACGGCCCTGTCTCCCGTGATGGTCCCGTCTCCCGTGCCGGCCCTGTCTCCCATGACGGCCCTGCCTCCCCTGGCAACCCCGCTGCCTTCCCTTTGGAACGGAATGAAATCTCTCCAGTCACGCTTACCCGGCAGCGAGCACATTCGAGCGCAATGGCGAAACATTAGAGCCGGCTCAAAGCGAGGCATTAGCGCCAACTGTGCCTGCACCCATGGGTGCTCCTTGTTGGGCCCTCGGCGGTTGTAGAGAGCCGAAGAGGTTGGAGCGCCGGGACGGCGGAAGGGGAAAGCGAAAGCGAGATGGACGGGATGCCCCGCTGGTCTGTTTGGGTCTGGCCAGATTTCTGACAGAGTCTCGTTTGGGACCCGGAGCTCCTGACACTTGTACCATATCCACACCGTCTCCAGCTCCTGGCGCCACTGCTCTATACGTGCGCAGTATGCCTCGGCCGAGTCGACCGCGCGGGAGAAAAACTCGGCGTGCTCCGGCTCCTCTGACGGCAACCGGTGGCGCCTCCAAACATCCCGGAGCCTGGCCACTGCTGTGGTATCTCTCGGGTCGACCAGCTGGATGGGTTCTTCGCCCAGCCTGCCAAACACGCCAGCGTGGGCGGCCTCGTAGTACGTCATATGGATCTCGACGATAGTTAAGACGACGTAATAAAGTTTGTAAGGACTGAAGTATTTCACTTCTTCAGGGGTGATCCTAGAACTGGTCGTACCACTGTCGAAGGCATGTAAGAGTTCAGCACTGACGGATGCTGCTGCGGCTTGGTTGGCCAGCCATTGAAAATATAGTAGCGGGTTTGGGGGGCCGGGGAGATAGATCGGGTAGTAGTACTCTCGAGTCCAGTGCAGATGTACGACGTCGAAGCCTTTGCGGAGCCGTACTGGCAGGCATTCGTTCCAGGTTTCCCATTCCGGGCAAGGAACGCCGTCGTCATCCAGCTTGCCCGCTTCGGCAGTTATATAGACGTGGCTTTCCAGGACAAGCTCACGTCCTTCGCGGCACACGTGAGAGATGACTGGAAAGCGACCAGACCACGACCACCAGAGCGTGGATCCATTGTCACCTTCGTAGGCAGATCCACCGAGGACGTTGTCATGATGCTCTAACATCGCGGTGTGCATCTCGTACACTCGGCGGCCGGGGATGCAGAACGAACAGATCATGCGTCGCAGCTCCGCAGGCAAATCTGGGAACTTGGGAAAGCGGTTCGCCGACATAGCGTTGGTTGGTGCTTCGAGGCCCGGTGCAAATTGTCGATTGTCGCGGTGGGTTGTATGTTGAGAGCAAAGACTGCCCGCAGCCCAAGTTCGCTAATCAGCCGTTAACGGGAATTTTTAGGGGGGGCGATAATTTAGAATGGAAAAACAAATTTTATTTGACGACTAATCGATCATTCTCAATATTCGAAAATATCCTTAGGGACCGTGCTCTCTTTGGAAGATCAACAGCCATGGTTCCACGGTGACACGCTTGATGGGAGCTTTCAACAGGAGTGTTTTCAGGTACTTCTCGAGTAGCCCCGAAGTTGTCAATTGAAGGCAGTTGTTCTTCTGTTCCGTTCTGACAGCCGTGAGCATCTCCCAAATCCCGTACAATAGCTTGTTGCCGGCACCTCGACACCCCTCACTTTGGGACTTTGGGATGCGTGGCGCTCACGTCGGGCAGCCATACACACGCTGTGGTAGGGCATCCACAACCGAACTTCGAACTCTCAAGTGCCGCGACTTCCAACATCCCTTTACCCCGATCATCAGCATTCCCAGCAGCTCAATTGTAGAGGAAAAATGTCTTTTCTTTTTCCGAAGATTTTTTGATATCCAAGGGCACATCTATTCGTGCAAGTGAAGCTGCAAAAAACCACAGTCGACCGCCTCGAGAAGATGAGCCAACACACAAGGGCAAAAATCGGATAAGTTATTCTATTGTAAATATTGCCCTTCTACAATGCCCAGAACACCTCCAACTTCAAACAACACCTTCTCTCAAAACATGGCATTGTTCCCGGCGCCTCCTGAGCGGTCGATTCACTGAGCAGCCTTACGTTGCAAAACGTTAGGGCCGTGGCTCTTTGGGGGTAGAGGGAAGTCGGGTGGTATTCAAAGCTGACTGGTCCATTGTCAATTGACCGCGGTACTGCTTCGGTGGACTGCTAGAGGGCCCGAGTCGTACACTGCTGGAGCATTGAACTGTGTTTGTTACGCCGGACTCGCGCTCGTCAAGAACATTGGCAACCTTCACACCTACTACAGCAAAAATGAACAGTGTACTCTAGTTGATCATTCCATTACAAGTAATAACCTAAGCCTCAACCAAGCTCAAATCATCAACATAGTACGTCCTCGCCGCCGCCCCGGAGCACGTCAACCTGACATTGAACGTATACACCGCCGCCGCCGCACCCGTCTGATAGAACCCCGTCGACAGCGCCCACGCGGGCTTAAGATTTGCCGACGTGATGGTGGCCAACGTCTTCAAATTCTGGTTCCCGTCGGCCGTGCCGACGTAGTAGACCACGCTGCAGCCCGGGTTGGCCGTGCTGGCCTTTGTCCAGCCGCTGAAGTTGTATCGTGTGTTAACCTTGAGCGCGATGGCCTGGTTGAACCACGCTTGGTAGGCCGAGGCGCCCGCGCTGTAGGCGACCGAGGCCGAGCGCAGGCCGCCGTGCGGGTGGTCCTCGTCGGCGAAGCTGTAGCTGAGCGCGCCTGGCGCGGAATTTCGGATTGTCCATCCTCGGCCCGGAATGGTTTCGAAGTCGCCGTTGCCGAGAGCGTTGGTGGGGGCGGAGCTCGTTGTGGAGGCTGCGGAGGAGGAGGTGGATGTGGAGGTCGTAGCTGCCTCGGAGGATGTCGTGGTGGCCTCCGCGGAAGAGGACGTAGAGTCTGTGGAGGCCTCGGTTGAAGACGTCGAAGTAAATGTGTTGCTCGGGACATCGGGCGCTGCACTCGAGGTCATCAGGGTAGAGTCAACGGTACTGCTCAACGACTCGCTGACAGAGGTGCTTGATGCCTCCGCGGCCGCAGTACTCGAAGAGTCAACGGAAACACCGCCTGAAGTCGGGTCGGCAGAAGAGGAAGGAGTGCTGGACTCGGTAGGCGTGGCGCCAATCGTGACCGTGGCAGAAGGCGGCCCACTGTTGCGATACATGTTGAGGCGGTCTCCCGCTCCGCACTTCTGCGACGGGTTCCCCGGGCACGGGAAGCTGCACTCGGAAAGGCTGGTGGGCACGCTGCCCTGCGCTGAGTTGATGGCGTTGCCGCCGTAGCACTCCCTGCCGTACTCGAGGCCAAACCAGGCGTAGCCGGCGCAGGCCGCAGCGCACTTTTCAACCGTCATGGCATCGTCAAAGTATGCGACGTCACTCAGGGCCCGGATGCCCGTAGCCTCTGTGTAGCAGCCCTCGCTGGTGTACGTGGCCGGACCGACCGACGGGGTAGAGCTGGCGGTGGACGCGGTCGAGGTCGGGCTGGAGCCAAACTCGTAGAGGTTGAGCCGCCAGTCGCCTCCGCAGAGCTCATTGGCGTTGCCGGCGCAAGGGTACTTGCAGTCGGCGTCGGCAGCGGGTTCGGCACCGGGCATCAACACGTTGCCACAGTAGCACTCGGTGTAGTACTCCAGACCAAACAGAGCGTAGCCGGCGTTGCCGCAGAACGTGGCGCACGCCTCCACCGTCATGTCGTCAGCTCTCGTGGCCTGGCTCGTCAGGGCACGGCCACCGGCGGGCTCGGCATAGCAACCGCGAGACAAGTAGCCCAGCTCCGTCAGAGGCGCCGGGTCCGTCGTGCGGGTGAACAGATCGAGCCGGTTGCCCGCACCGCAGTTCTGGGTCGCATCTCCCGGGCAAGCGAACGAGCAGTCGGCAAGCGAAGCCTGGACACTGCCCTCGGCGATGGTATTGCCGCAGTAGCACTCCCTGCCGTACTCGACGCCGAAGTATTTGAAGCCGGAGCAGGCGGCCGCACACTTTTCGACCGTCATGAGGTCATCGAAGTAGGCAGATCCAGTGAGGGCCCGCGAGTTGGTGGCCTCGGTGTAGCATCCCGAGAAGTCGTAACCGGGGATCTGGGGCACATCGCGACGCCGGAAGGCAGACGCATGCGGAGAGGCGCCGGCTCCATCCCACAAGAGGGCGGCCAAGGCGGCCACGAGTGTGACGGCGTGCTGCATTTCGGCCGTGGGTGGATTAGCACGACGGAGAATTGATTCTGGAGAGATCAGGAAGCCTGGGCTTGGACGAAAAGACGAGGAGAAAACCACATGCTGAAATCAAAGCAAGCCGCCAGGGACCCGGTATTTATGGATCCAGCAATCTGGAGGCATAATCATCTCTCCTGGAAAATGCCATGTCGATGGTCAATCTCCAAATCCACGGCCACGAGGTGGAACAGCGGAACCCTATGAAGCAGCTAAGCTTCCAGGCCCCTGAGAGCTGAGTGAAAGCAACGCCAACCTGGAAAAGTGGAGGAGCTGAGCCATCAGGGCTCACTGGCATCGCGGTCCCAACGATCTGGATCGGCCAAGTCTGCCTGGAATATTGAATTTTAGCGTGGTAATACTGCAAATGTGGGACTCTAGCGCCGGGCCCACGTACCACGCCAGGATTCAATATGCTGGAATAGGAGTAGTTCGTCCAGTCTCCACGGAGGCTATGGACGTGAGAACAGCTTCGTTCGCCACCGGAAAGTGAGGGAGCCGTTAAGGCCCACGTGTGCATCCGATCCAGTGGTAACTCAAACGAGCGCTTTCCAAGGTCTAGATTCGTGGCCATCCGCTCTCGGCGGGCGTCATCAGACCCCCCAAAGCGTGCTGGCAGGGCCCATTCTCCACGAGCAAAAATCCCGTGTCTCCCATACCCATCAAACCATCAATGCCCCCTAATAATATCCGCCGCCTTCTCCGCAACCGCATACATCGTCGCCTGCAGGTTCGCCGCCACAATGACGGGCAGCATGCTCGCATCCACCACCCTCAGTCCTTCGACACCATACACCTTCAACCTCTCATCCACCACACCGCCGAGCTCCCGCGGCATCATCCCTGCGGTCCCGCACGGATGCGCATTATGAGGCGACATCAAAGTTCCCCTCAACGCCGCCTCAATCTCCTCATCCGTCCCCACCGCCTCCTCGCCGGGCAGCAACTCCTCCACGCCGAGGTGCCGCAGCGAGGGGCTCGTCAGCAGCACCCTCCGGAGCAGCTTAAAGGCCAGCACCATGGCGCGGGCGTCAAACGGATGAGCAAAAGCGTTGAAGTCGACCAGGGGCGGCGACAGGCCAGGGTGCGGGTTTGTGCTGTTGATGAGGACGGTGCCGCGCGAGAGGGGCTTTTGCAGGACGACGGCCATGCCGGGGGGCGCGTTGCCCGACCAGAGGAAGTCGACGAGCGGGTTGGTTCCTGCCTGGAGGGCGCTGGTCAGGAGCGAGACTTGGGCGGCGTAGCCTGCTACGAGGGTGGGTTTGTCGCGGTAGTGGGCGGGCAGGTACGCAGTCGAGTTGGCGGGGGTGATGAGGGTGTGGATGAGGTTGGTGGCGGTGTCGTCCGAGTTGGTGGTGAGGTTGTGGAGCGTCGCGGTGAGCCCGCTGTTGCCGCCCGCGGCGGTCAGCGGGCCGGTGCGGTTGGCCATGTACTCTGCCCAGGCGGCATCAAAGAAGCTTGCATTGTTGCGTAGGAGCGAAAAGTTGATGGGATTGGGTTGGTTGACTTGCTGACTGTTAGCAGGCGATCGATTTGATTGCGAATGATTGCCGGGCTTGAGCCACTTACAGCGGAATGACGCCCCACGGAGGGTGGGATGATCCATAAAGTTGGCCCCGACTCCCGGCAGATCCTCGACCACCGGGATGTTGAGCTTGTCGAGAAGGTGCCGCGGCCCGATCCCGCTAAGTTGGAGGATCTGGGGTGTGTGAATCCCGCCGGCGGCGAGGATCACCTCCTTTCTGGCTGAGATGGAGACTTTTGCCGACCCGTCTTTCCTGCTGAACACGTCGACTCCCTTGGCCCTCGACAGTCCCTGGGCCGGAATCTGGACTTTGGCCACGTAGGTGTTGACGAGGAGTTGCAGGTTGGGGCGATGCTGGACGGGGTCGTAGTACGCTTTGCGCGCCGAAGACCTAGTAAGGTTCTTGCCATCGGCACTGATAGGCCTCCACGCGGCACCGAGAATATTGCCGCTCATGCTGTCGTTGAGGAGTGGGTAGCCCATATCCTCTGTCCAAGCCTTGTACAAGTAATCTGTTTCGGTCAGCATAATCAATGAAATAAGCTCCATGTATCCATGACCGACTCACAAACATCTGGCCATTGCCAAGGCGGCAAGAGGGCCTGCACAGGGCCATGGCCGAAACTACTCTTGTCGTAGGTGTAGTTGAGCTGGTCGACAATTTCGGGACTTGGAACATTCAGTGTGCTTGACTATTAAAGCTCCATGTCAGCTGGCCGGCCTCCTAGTCAGGACTAAATGGAATGCACCTTTTTAAAATACTTAGACATCTCTTTCCAGCCCCAGCCCCGGTTGCCCATCTTCTCCCAAGTGTCATAGTCCACCTTTGCTCCTCGAAGATAGGCCATGCCGTTGACGGTTGAGCCGCCACCAACCGTGGCTCCCAGGGGCAGGTTGAATGTCCTGCCACCGAGGCCGCGCTGGGGCGTCGAAGGGGTGGTGAACATCAGGCTGGCGTCCTGCAGAGCCGTGGCATAGTAGGGGATGGACAGATTCCAACTGTCAGCCAGATCGCCGTACTCGACCACCAGGACGGTTGCTACAAGGCGTTAGTCAGGTACAATTTTGCATGTTCTTGGCACAGCTTACTCTTTGGGTCTTCGGTCAACCGGTTGGCAACAACCAGGCCCGTGAGACCGCCGCCAGCAATGATATAATCGTAGGCGTCCTTGGCGGCGCTGGGGTCGCGGAGGACTCGCTGTGCTGCCGTCCATTGCGCACACAGGCAGACCAAGCCCGCGAATCGAATTGAAGTGTACTTGTTCAAGGCGACCATCTTGAGGCTCATGGGCGCTCGTGATGCCAATGTCCCATAGTGCAGGCCGGTCTTGGGGCCGAGCACCGTCTTTAAGAAGACGGCATTAGCAAAGCTCAGAGGGACCATCACCTCGCCGAGGTTCCGTTGGCTGGCGATGGCAAAATGGCACCGTTCCTGCAGGCACTGTGCATAGTGACAACCCCTCATCCGTCCTTTAGCCGTCCCGCAGTTACAATGGCGGCAACTCTACCGCAACCCCAGAAACAGTCGTCGGCTGTTGTGCGATGCATTGCTACTGGCAATTAGTTGTTGTTTGAGGAGTAGAGTGGTGGCAATGGAAGGGGGGATCAGAGTCGGACTTGAAAATGTTATCCTCGGACTTTGACGACATTGGTCATATGTAAGCCTTTGCTCCAATGTAGTTGTGAGCCTCTCCAAGAAGTGGGCGTGACCGGCTCGCTCAACTTTACCACACCAAAGGTATGTTGTCAAGGCAACGATGACGCGATGCGCAAGTAAACGGCAACAGAACGGAGATAAAATGTGATAACAACCGACCACATTGTCGGGAGGCCAAGAGAACAGCATAAGGTAGAGGCGTGGAAGCGTGAAAGAAATCTGGATGGCACAAGGGCCATTTCTCTTTGCGAGCCTTTGTCATTGAGAATGCCACTAACCAGTGCTCGGTCAAAACGTTGGATTTGAGATGCAAAGCCGAGAACACAGCCCCCCTGCAGGGGCATGCTGCCCCACATGCCCCTGATTGGAAGGTGGGCTGTGGCGCGCCAAGCCGATAAGCTGATAACTCTTTTTGCCCAGCGAAAATTCCCCAACCGCGGGGCAATTCCAAAGTTTTGAATTTGAAGTTGGGCAGTTTCCCCATCACCAAACCTCGGGATATACTTTACTGTATAGCTGGACCCAAGAATCCGCGCCTCGTCAGTACTCGACCGCGAAGCCTTCCGCGCACAGGTTGTCTGTCGCGAACCCAGGCGCTCACGAGACCTTGGCCGGAGATCCCTAGATGATGCCGCATCCTGTGTCGCCGCCGACAATGACGGTCCCCATCAAGGCGCCCGACGGCGCTGCCCCGCCCCCCTCTCAGGCCGACGTCTCGTCCGTGATCAACACCATCTTCACCGCCAAGACTTCGTCCGCTTCCATCGATGCCTGCTACGGACTCTGCGAGCTGCTTCTCAACTCGGTCGGCTTCCAGGGCCTACACCGCTATGGCATTCTCGCCGAGGTCAAGAAGGCCGCCGCCGACAAGAAGAGCGGGCTCCGTCGTGAGAGCGCTCAGAACCTCCTTGGCGCCCTGTTCGAACGCTTTCCTCCGCGCCAACCCATCTGCGAGATCGTCTTCCTCCTCCAGGATGGCGGCATGCTCGGTTGCGCTTTTGATGCCCTCGCCGACAAGGGCGCTGTCGTTCGCGATGCCGCCCAGTACGGCATCGATGCCCTATTTGCTAACCTTAGCGCCGAATCCCTGGTCGTTGGCCTCCTGCCCGCTCTCATCGAATACGTTCAGAAATCCGGTGGCAAGTGGCAGGGTGTTGTCGGCGCACTCAAGCTGATGCAGAAGATGGCCGACAAGGCCAAAACCACAATAGGAAGCACCAAGGAGGAGGCCCAAGAGCAGGATTTTTTGCGCGAGGCAATGGGCGCCAAGCTTTCCCGTCTCATTCCCATCGTGGAGAATGCCATGCTTGATATGAAGACCGAGGTGGAGAAGCAGGCCGTCAAAACCATGACCTCACTAACATCTCTCCTCTCGAACGACGACGTTGCCCCCCGCATTCCGCTCCTTATCGAGACCATGCACCATCCCTCGGCCGAAGCACTTCAGAAGGCCATTCACGCCCTTTCGCAGACAACCTTTGTTGCCATCGTGACATCGCCCGTCCTGGCACTGCTCACCCCATTTCTCGAACGCTCGCTCAACAACCCCACGACCCCGCAGGAGGTTCTCCGCCAGACGGTCGTTATCACCGAGAACCTGACCAAGCTCGTCCACGACCCGATTGAGGCCCGGACCTTTTTGCCCAAGCTCCAGCCCGGCGTTAAGAGCGTCGTTGACAGGGCTTCGCTCCCTGAGGTTCGCGAGCTGGCGACACGGGCATTGAATGTTATGGACAAGGCTATGGGCGATGACAAGACGGCTGTCGTCGAGCGCACCACTGCTGAGGACGTCGCCAAGGTCCTCGATGCCGAGATTAAGAAGAGCGGTGGTATTGCTGGCGATGTGACTGCTTACCATCTGGCGCGCCCGTACATCTGCGAGATGCTAAGCGAGGCTGTCAACCACCGCCAGCTGGACCGCATCCCTGCCAGGATTATGCCGTATCTTCAATCCCTGACGCCGAACGCTGAAGCTGTCGCGGCTGCTGTTCATAGGTACTACGTCGAGGAAGACCACCGCAAGTACGGCGTTCCCGAGAAGGAGGACGACGGCGAGATCGAAATCGTCAATGCCGACTTCTCGCTCGCCTATGGCGGCATGCTCCTGCTGTCTCATACCAACTTGAGACTACTCAAGGGGCACCGCTATGGTCTCTGCGGCAGGAACGGTGCAGGCAAGTCGACTCTGATGAGGAGCATCGCCTCTGGCAAGCTCGAGGGTTTCCCACCCCAGGACGTGTTGCGCACCTGCTATGTGGAGCACAACCAGGGCGAGGACGCCGATATCAGCATCCTCGAGTTTGTCTCGAAAGATCCAACCATCGCGAAGGAGGGTAAGGAGAGGATCTCGGCCGTTCTGGAAGAGTTTGGCTTCACGTCTGGGCCTGAGGGTCGCCAATCTCAGAAGGTCGGCTCTCTATCGGGCGGTTGGAAGATGAAGCTAGCCCTTGCCCGTGCCATGCTGCAGAGAGCCGATGTTCTGCTGCTCGACGAACCCACCAATCATCTCGACGTGGCAAATATCAAGTGGCTGGAGAACTACCTCAAGACGCATACCGACATCACCAGCCTGATCGTGTCCCACGACTCGGGCTTCCTCGACGAGGTCACGACCGACATCTACCACTACGAGCCGAACAAGAAGCTGGGCCACTATAAGGGCAATCTCGCTGCCTTTGTCAAGGTCCGCCCGGAGGCCAAGAGCTACTACACGCTCTCGGCGTCGAACGTGCAGTTTAAATTTCCGCCGCCCGGTATCCTCTCGGGTGTCAAGTCCCAGACGCGTGCCATCATCCGCATGACCAACGTCTCGTACACATATCCTGGCGCGTCCAAGCCTTCGCTGAGCGACGTTTCCTGCCAGCTCTCGCTGTCGTCCCGCGTGGCCATCATCGGCCCCAACGGTGCCGGCAAGTCGACTCTGATCAAGCTGCTGACGGGTGAGGTAATACCGTCGTCCGGTAAGGTCGAGAAGCATCCCAACCTGCGTATCGGCTACATCAAGCAGCACGCGCTCGAGCACGTCGAGATGCATTTAGAAAAGACCCCCAACCAATACCTGCAATGGCGGTACGCCCACGGCGACGACCGCGAGGTGCACATGAAGCAGACGCGCATCCTATCGGACAAGGACCGCGAGCAGATGAACAAGTTTGTTGATGTTGGTGATGGCAAGGGCAAGCGTCAGGTCGAGGCGCTGGTCGGTCGGCAAAAGTACAAGAAGACGTTCCAATACGAGGTGTAAGTGCGCTCCTGCTTCTACTTTCGAGGCAGGGCTGTTACTGACTTCATCCCCAGAAAATGGCGTGGTTTCCTCCCCAAGCACAACACCATGATCTCGCGCGAGACGCTCCTCGACCTGGGCTTCTCCAAGCTCGTGCAGGAGTTCGACGACCACGAAGCCTCGCGCGAAGGCCTCGGCTACCGCGAGCTGCAGCCGTCGGTCATCTCGAAACACTTTGAGGACCTCGGGCTCGACCCGGAGATTGCCAACCACAACGAGATTGGCTCACTGTCGGGCGGCCAAAAGGTGAAAGTCGTCATCGCGGGCGCCATGTGGAATAACCCGCACCTTCTCGTGCTCGACGAGCCGACCAACTTCTTGGACCGCGACTCGCTGGGCGGGCTGGCGGTTGCCATACGCGATTTCAAGGGCGGCGTCGTCATGATCTCGCACAACGAGGAGTTTGTGGGCGCGCTCGCGACCGAGCAGTGGCATGTCGTGGACGGGCGGGTCACGCACAGGGGGACCGCGGCGGTGAGCCTGGACCGGTTCGAGGATTCCAGCAAACCCGCGTCGGCGATCAACAGCGGGCTGAATACCCCAGCGCTGAGCAGCAGCGCGGTCAGCAGTGCGGTAAATAGCGGGGCCGAGGATAATGGTGGCGGTGGTGGGGTTACGGGCGAGAGCATGGCGTTTAGGGCTAAGAAGAAGAAGAAGATGACCAAGAAGGAGTTGAAGGAGAGGGAGGTGAGGCGGAGGCTGAGGCATATTGACTGGTTGAATAGTCCCAAGGGAACGCCCCGGCCGCCGGATACGGATGATGAGGCGGAGTAGGGGACCGGGGGTCGGGTTCTCTCTTGGGGGAATCTCTTATTTGGGTTGGCTTGGCTGTTTTTTGATTTTGTTGTGTCGGTGAGCAAGCGATGATGCGAGATGGCGGCTATCTTGAGTCTTGTTGGTAGATTTTAGATGTGGGATTTGGGTTAGAAAAGTAATGGATAAAGGCCGGTATAGAGGCGTTTTGGTGTCGAGGTAATAGAAGAGCATTCTCTGACCATTCCGTGTTCCAAGATAAGCTCCATACAAACAGCTTGAGTGGTGGACATGGATGACAGCTGCCATCCGGGCTCGCCGACTGAATGGTGCTGTTGAAGGCCAACCTACAGACCCACAAACGATACCAGATGAAAGGCAACAACACGGTTTCCCATGACAACTTGAGTAATGGGACGAATCTCAAAATTTCACGGTCAGGAATCTCATCCCGTCGATGGCGCCGCGGCGGGTGGTTGATGCGTCCGGTGATGTCAAAGATAGCTGACATTTTCCCATAATCTGTCGCGAGGAGCTTTCCTTCAGCCACCTGCCCGATGCACCGCAGGTTCGAGGTCGGGTCGCGCGTCCTCGCTATGTTTACTTTATTTTATCTCTTCCTCCGTTCGGCGTTATTTTGAGCCGGTCCTGTCTGCACATTTACTTTAGCCCAATATAGCACGTTGCATATCTATCTGTATGAGGGCGGCGCCAACGCGAAGTAAATTAAAGTGTCTGGCTAATAGCAGTAGGTACGGACACGGTCTCTCTTAGTTATTTCTTCGGTATATTTTGAGTCGGGCTCTCTGAGGTTAACCGTGCTTGGAGTTCGAAGGTTTGGCCAAGAGAGGAAAGTTGAAGCCTTGTTGAAGCCGTGCTGGTCTCCTTGCAGAATCACTCGGAAGAGTCGCAAGGGTTCGGGTTGTTGCTTATCAAGCTGAACAGAACGAGACCCGGGATTAAAAATCATTGACCCCGCCAACCGTCCCACCTTATATACGGATCCGTACGGGATACTGCTGTTGAATGTTGCAACACAGTAGAGGCGAGCTTCGGACGATACGCAGTCTTCATCTTCCCATCCTCGAGCTCGATATTAATTTCAAACTCACACAGAACTACACGATGTCGTCGTCAGATCCCCACCGCGACCACCCCGAGGACGACGAGCCCGAGATGCTCGCCGAGGAAGACGTGCAGGAGATGCTCGAGGGCGAGGATGCCGACGGCGATGTTGCCATGGGCTCCGATGACGAGGGCGAGGAAATTCTCCTGCAGAACGATAGTATCGCCTACTTTGACGGCCACAAAGATTCTGTCTTTGCTATCGCCCAGCACCCGCTCTACCCCAACATCATCGCCACGGGCGGCTCCGAGGGCGACGCCGACGATGCCCCGGGCATGGGCTACGTGATCGACACCTCGGCCGCGGTCTCGCGCCCCGTCCTCCCGCCGAGCTACAACTCGGACCCGTCCACCGCGAGCAAACCGCAAACCACCGAGCTGCAGCCGCTGTTCGCCATCGAAGGCCACACCGACAGCATCAACGCACTCGCCTTCACCCTCCCGCGCGGCGACTTTCTCGTGTCGGGCGGCATGGACGGTCGCCTGCGCGTCCACGCCGTATCCGCAACCCCTACCTCCGCCCAGTTTCAGTTCCTCGCCGAGTCACAAGAGACAGAAGAAGTCAACTGGCTCGCGCCCTGCCCCTCGCCCGATTACCCCAACACCATCGCCCTCGGCGCCTCAGACGGCTCCGTCTGGGTCTTCACCCTAGACGCCTCCGACCCATCCAACCCAATTCAGATCGTCCAATCCTACTTCCTCCACACAGAGCCCTGCACCGCCGGCGCCTGGACCCCCGACGGCCTGTTGCTCGCGACCGTAAGCGAAGACGCCTCGCTACACGTCTACGACGTCTGGGGCGTGGCCGCCGCAAGATCCCTAGTCACCGACAACGGCCAAACCGTTATCTCCCTCACCAACGCCGACCAGCGCTTCGCCGTCGAAGGCGGCCTCTACTCGCTCGCCATCTCCCCGGGGGGAGGCATCCTCGCCGCAGGCGGCGCCCACGGCGCCATCCGAATCGTAGGCCTCCCGCGCAACCTCTCCAAACCACAACAACCACAACAACAATCCGCCGCAGCATCCGCGCAAGTAGGCGCCATCCTTGCCTCCATCGCGATCCAATCCGACAGCATCGAGTCCCTCGCTTTCAGTCCCAACCCCTCGACCCCTTTGCTCGCGGCGGGGAGCGTAGACGGCTCCATTGCCGTGTTCGACGCGGCAAGGTCCTTTGCCGTGCGCAAGCACCTCCGGGGCGCACACGACGGCGAGTCGGTTGTGAAGGTGGACTTTGTCAGGAAGACGGCCGGCGCGGCTGCCGGTTGGCTGCTTACCTCGTGCGGGCTGGACGGAGTTGTCAGGAGGTGGGACCTGAGGGGTGCTACGGCCGGTGTCCAGCCGCAGCAGCAGCAGGAGTCTGGTAGTGCGGGGGTTGGTGCTGCTGTTAGCGGGTTGGTCAAGGAGTGGAGGGGCCATCGCGGTGGCGGGGAGGGTGGTGGAGTGTTGGGTTTTGTGCAGGGCGAGACAGGGGAGAGAGTAATTACGGCGGGGGATGATGGGTTGGTGTTGGTTTTCGAGGCGTGATGTGTCTGGAAGTTTGAATGATAATCTGATGGATTCCAGAGCAGTGAATGGGGAGGGATTGGTATAGACTTGTATGTGCCGGCGTTTGAGTATCGAAATGTATCATTCACTGCTAAGTACCGGTCGAAGAGTATGGCCATTAGATCTGCAAGAGTCGTCTGTGAACTGGCTTGTTGGTGCGCCATTACCGTTTCTAGACCATCACCGCTTGTACTTTTTCTCCAACAGCTCGCCGCTAGAAGCCGGTTCTTGCCCTGCCTGCTTACGTCTCTGGCTGTATCAAAAATACGATCGATCTAAACCAGTAACGCATTCCGTATAATATCAGTGAGTGGCCCACCTGACAAATTTAGCAGGGTTGCACTTTAAATTTTGGTGAAATAACTAACGTACATGATAAGCGAACGTCCCAGACAAGCGAACGTCCCACAAAAACACATCTGCACAACAAATTTCAACATGATTCAACCAACACTGACAA